CGGCTTAATGGTAAATCCAGCTACTGAACCTTTGGTGTTTGTTTCCAGGATGTAGACAGAGCCTCACCGCAGACGGAGCAGAGGGCAGGGGGGCTGCAGGACGACCAATCAGACGACGAGGATAAAGAGAACGAGCCTGAGGATGAGGAGGATGATGATGATGGGGGTGGTGGGGGCTGGATCACTCCCAGTAACATCAGTCAGGTGAAGATGGAGTCGGCCGATTGGACGGAACCGGCTGACGTCAGAGTCGGATGTCTGACCACCGACTTCGCCATGCAGGTAAGGCTCTCTGAGCAGAACGCTGGAGGTCTGCGCTGCAGAGGAGGTGTGATGAAGTTCCTGTTCTTCCAGAATGTTCTGATCCAGATGGGCCTCCGGGTTCTGTCTGTGAACGGCATGGTGATCAAACAGGCCCGCAGCTACATCCTGCGCTGCCACGCCTGCTTCAAGTGAGTGAGTCCCTCCCAGGGAGACGGGTCGGAACCGTCTGGCCTCGGTGTGTCCATGAAGAACCTTCGGTTCTGCTCTAACATGAAGGTTCTGTCTCCAGGACGACCAGCAACATGAACAAGGCCTTCTGCCCCCACTGTGGGAACCGGACCCTGAAGAAGCTGGCAGTGACCCTCAACGACGACGGCAGCGTCCAGATGCACTTCTCCAGGAACCCAAAGGTTCTGAACCCCCGAGGGCTGCGGGTGAGGATCTCCTGCTGGTTCTGATAAGATCAATCACGGATCTTTGATGTTCTGATCCGACTCTGATCCTGAAACCTCCTGATTTAACCAGAGATTCAAAAACAAACTTTACTGATAAAAGTTTCTATGAACTAAATTCTGCAGGTCGGTAGATTGATCTGCTGAGAGACACGAGAACAGGACCTGTTTAGGACGTTTGGACCGGTTCAGAACCGGCCCGCGGTTCTGACAGTTCTGCAGAAGAACTGGTCTTTGGTTCGGTCGCTTCTGCTTCAGAAGCGGTCCGCGGTTCGGTCGGTTCTGCAGCAGAACCGGTCCGCGGTTCGGTGGGTTCTGCAGGAGAACCGGT